AAAAAACTGTTTCCTGCTAATGTCCCATTTATGGAACATGTTATAAATCATTAAAAAAATTTTTTTAAACTTTTTTTCATAATTCTTACATTTAAGTTAAATCGATTTTTCATGACAAAAAGTGGTACTTTTCCATTTTTGCCGGCGCAGGCGATAAAGTCGCCAATAATGGTACAACTGATGCCAAATGGAATATCCTCGCTGGTAACCTTTTATGCTTCATTTTCAAAACAAGTAGCAGTCATTTTTTTATCAGATTGATTGCTTCTTTCAAAACTGGCATACAATTTTTGCCAGATAGTTCAATTTTATGCCCTAAGGCCATTCGTGGTAAATTAAGTCAATTAGGATGCAATCACACCACTCACCCGAAGGCAAAAATATAGAAAATGCAAAGTCAAGGGTTAAACTCATTAATTCCATTCAGAATGCACTAGCGAAGTAATGCCCTGCGGTTTTACATAATTTCTGAGTAAGCTATTCGTATGAATTGAAATAATTCTTGCAATTTAAACTTGTATTTCAAATTAAGATTTAACTTGAAATTAATGTAGATAATTACTGAGAGTTGTAGCCTAGTTAACATGAGATGTGATCACTTGGGGTCATGTGATATGAACCGGCGAATCAGGATGTTGGAACCATGAAAGCATTAGTACATTCTTAAATTAATGTCTTTTTACAAATTTATTGCCTTTATTTGTTGGTTTTTTACAAAATTTTAAATGATATTAAAATGTTTATGCCTTCAAAATAAAAAATTCTTAGAACTAACAATTGTTAACATTTTTTATATGTATAATGTATGCTGTCAACAATAAAGTCTGCTTAGCGAGATTTGCACTGGCGAAACAGAAAAGTACCCAAAAAGTTTATGTTACCTTTGCATCATAGTGTGATGTTTAAAAGGTTAAAAGTGAAGAATTTTTGCCATATTTATTCTGCGGAAATTTTATCACAATATTTTTATTTTTCTTCCAAAGCATTCATTATATTACTTACTCAAAGTTACAATATCTTAAATTTTCTTTAAAAAATTTACTTAATTTGTCTTCCAAGCATGATTTTTTTTAACAACTCTATATTGAACTTTCTCTTCATGCTTTAACAGATATATGGACGTTATCAACATTTAAGAAATACAATATGCAGACAAAGTACATGGAAAAAAGAAATCATTATCAATAAATATATGTTCATATAAAAACAATGATATGAGATTAGTGCTGTCCAGAATCCAAATCATAAACTGCAAAATTTTCTAGATATAAAAATATCTGCTGGTAGATAGACCATACACATTAATATGCTTGTACAATCTCTCTATGAGAGAGATATCTCAATTTTATACTTGCGTTTAATTTATTCTGAGATTCACTAGATATATCAGAAAGCATATTCTTTGTCAAAGGTTATAGTTGCATCATTTCTGGCACTGGTATTTTAGAAATTGCGCAACGAAATTTCAATGAGGAAGCTCTAAGGCAGGATCTCACTGTAACAGTATAGACATCATCATTAGGTGACCAGCTGAAAAGGAATGAATTGGAGAGAAAGAAAACTGCAATAACACAAAATGTTTTCCTTCTTTTCCAGAAAAAACCAATTAAGCATTAGCATATCCCAAGCTAGAAGACTCGGCAGCAGTTGTCATCAGGCATCTTAACAATAGGAAATTGCCAACAGCTTAGGCGATACACAATTTTGATTTCAAATATTCAAAGTGCAAAAGTATTCTTTCAGTGGTAAATTCAAACTTGTATTGTATAATGGTTCTCTGTCCATATCATTCACCTTTTGCTTCTCTCATAGATATGGAAATAAATGAATGGTAATGAATAAATTGAAGGTACTTGTATGAAACATGTTTTTAAAGTAAGAACCATTTGGAAGTAAAAAAGAAACATGTAGAATTTTCTTACCAGTTTTATTGTTAAATGAAAGCTTGCATCTCAATCTATTTTTCAACATAATTTCCACCAATATGAAGGTATAACATAAAAAAATGGTTTCATATTGGTGAATTGGTTGTACATATAATATCATATTGCACAACCAATTTTTGAATCTCCTCTTCATAGAAGTCTGCTGCTGATTTGACACCTACTGCAACATGGTAGTTTTGACCTCATCATCATCATCATCATCATTGTGGTGAAGACTGCTCAGATGCTTTTCCAAATGTAGGACTGGTGGTAGTTACTGGGCACTAGATTAGGGTTGCATAGAGGTTGATCAAGTTGTTCCCAGCAAAATGAAGCAATAACATCTTGAATTCATTTAGTTGCTTGTGGATGGGTATTGTCATGAAACAAAGAGATCCCCTACTGAAGAACATGAAAAGCCTTTTGTTTTGGATTGCACGCCGCAGTTTGTTTAAGGTCTCATAATATGTTGTAGAATTTATTGTCACCACAAGGCAAAAAATCTACAAGCAACACTCTTTTCCTGTCCCAAAACACAGTACACATGATTTTCTGGACTGAAAATATTTGCTTGAACTTAACTTTCTTGGGTGATGATGAATGCCACCATTCCATAAATTGCTGCTTCGGTTCTAGCATAAGGTACCCAGGTTTCGCTGATTTTTAGTGAGTCTTACAATGATGTGCAAAACTCAAGAAACAGGTGTTCTTTTTGCCATAAATCCACGAGAAATCATCTCAGAAATGACAGACAGAATTTTTTATTTAAACGATGATGAAACCATAGATGTGCAAAAAAGAATACAATGCATACAGTATGGAATCAAACAAAAAAAGGCTTTATTAAACTCATAGTATTGTTACTCCATACTCAGTACCAGATTGTCCAAAAGATCTTGAAGTAAGAGTGACCATTCCTCAATCAGCATTTGTTTCAGTTGTTGGGTGCTCCCTGGAGGATGTAATCGTGCTGCAGGGCATCTCCCCAAAGCATCCCACACATGTTCTATGGGATTTAAATCAAGGGAGTACACTGGCCATCCATTCGAGTGATATCTTCACTTTCCAGTAGCTTCTGAACAGCAGGAGTCCTGTGTGGCCCTGCATTGTCATCCACAAAAACGAAGTCTACTTCAATGACACCTCAGAACAGATGCACATTGGAAAGGATCACCTCCTGAAAATAGCACTCTCCGGTTACAGAACTTCTGTCAAAAACAAGGAGCATAATGCCCGTTCAGCATAATGCCTGCCAAGATGAGAACTTCAGGACAACAGTAATGGTCTCTTTCTGTGATGTTACTGGGATGAAACTATGTCCCAACCTCTGTCCAAAATAAACTGGCATTGAGAATCGCTTGTGGCACTAAAATGACTCTCATCTGTAATGAAGACACGACTCCATTGATGAGATGTTCAGTTTTTATGCCACTCTAACGCATCCTTGCACCACTCTAAACGGTGCCGTCGATGGCCAACTTTCAATGGGATACAGCATTTAGGATTGTAGGAGAATAGGCCACCCTTGTGAAGGCATCTGGACACAGTAAACTGTGACATTTTTCGCCCCATCGCTGTACACAGTTGTTGAGCTATGGTGCTTGCCGACTGGTTTCGGGCGCTTTTCGCCTGCAGGGCGATACATCAGTCATCCACTGCAGTTGTTTTCCTAGGGTGGCTATCACCAACCTTTCTAAGAGCTGTACCTATGGTTTGGAAGGCTTTCCAAGTGCGAAATGACACTTTTGTTGATTCCAAACTCTTCAGCTACACTGGTCACAGTACAGCCCTCCTCCAGCTTTCTGATCATTCTTCCAGGTCATTTCTTCTAGCCATATTTCACAAAAGAACTCACCTGCACATTGCGCCAACAGCATGCGTTCTGCATGCGCTCACATCGTTTGTGACATTTGCATATGCATGACCTTTCTACAGAATTGAGTCTTCATTGTACTGATCGCAAGAACCCCTTTTCTGTAATTTCATGGCTATCTGATTAAAATTTACATTGTTGCTTAAGTTTTGCACACCAGTGCAAGAAATCATCACCTCACTGTGCTGCTGAAGTAAAGTTAAAACACTATCTAAACATTTGGTTTTGTGCCTTTCTGTTAACATTTTCAGTACCAGGACGAAGGAGTGAAACAGAACAGACACTATAAAATAAAGTGTCTGTTCTGTTTCACTCCTTCGTCAACTTTCTGCGTCAAATCTTCTGTAATGCCCACTTTGTTCCCCATCATGAACATCTGTGCAGCTCGTTCTAAAAGTTCTAACCTATTTCAAAACCATTCCATCACTCATAATGTTTTCTCTATACATTTAATTAATCTGACAATTAATTTCAGCCGCTTTCACAGCTTTAGTACTAAGAAAACAAATCACCGATCATATTTTACTGTTAACGAAGCCATTTTAAATACTCAAAAAAAACAAACATTAATAATGGTCGAAGGTTTCTGCAATTGTGTTTGTGGCTTGCCAACAGATGTAGGTAAACAACGTGCATGCACGGAATGCCGACTACAGCACCGGAATTAAAAAACGGTACTTACTTTAAAAGCATAACTCATATTAAAAATTATGCGAGTTCTTTTCAAGTTCATGGTCTGCCTAAATCACAGATGTTGCAAAACCCTTAACAGCCTTGATAAGGAGAATTGTACCAGATAACAATATCCTTTGCTTCAGAACATCTAGCAAGGTGCTGCACAGTCATATTTGCTCTTATAAGAAACTTCCATTTTCTCCCAGATGTAATACTCTACCAATTCATAAATAAATCATGCAATAAAATTAATACATTTTAATTTTTAATGAACATTTCTTCAAATTATTCACTGTTAAGCCAGCTCAAGTTTCCCTCAAGATTATACGCATATCTTTTCCTCACTATTTAATTTCTGCACATATAATTTTAATTTATGAAATTTAAATTCAAGTTCTCCCACCTGTTAAAATTAAGGTTAAACATTTAAGCATTATAAAACTATTTTATATATAATTTTAAAGCAAAAAATTATAGATTACAAACACACGCATTACACCACAAATATAAAAATTAACTACAATTACCAGGAGCTATGGCACAACAGCGAATTCCTTCAACTGCCAGATCTCTTGCTAAAGGGAGAGTCATTCCAACTATTCCTCCTTTACTAGCAGAATAAGCTACTTGACCTCTTTGACCATCAAAGGCAGCTACACTTGAAGTGTTAATAATTACACCCTTTTGTCCATCTTCATCTGGTTGATTTTTTCCCATTAGACCGACAGCCAATCGGATAACGTTAAATGTACCAATGGTGTTAACCTAATTAAATATTTCAAACATAAACTTAGATCAAAATGCTAAATGATTCTGTTCTAGATATGTAATATACAGTATTAGAAATATCTTTTATTAGTTACAATAATGCTGTAAGTGTTAACAATTATCAAGTAGATATATTATAAATTAGATAAATAGAAAAAAGCAAAAATTTACATTATTAAAAAGTAGACTTATTGCTTTTATACTGATTAGTTGTAAGTGATTTATTTGAATGATATATATTTAAAGTGACATCAAGGGGCAAAACACTGGAAACCAGGTTATTAATTAGGCCAAATGAAAATCAAAGATCTTACATCTCATGCACTGGTAACACTTGCAAGCTAAATGGATAATAAATGACACAATAGTATAACATAATGCAACTATAAAAGCTTTTTTTGAAACATTTCACGAATAATGTTTATATCAATATAAAAACCAAATTTTACAAAAAGAAAATTCTGCACATTTTAAAAAAAAAGGGGATTTCAAGAATGACTCGGTGACATATAATTGAATATCAATTGTCTCAAAATTCCATTTTTTTTCCTAGATAATATCCTCCTCCCCCACAGTCTTCAATTTATTTTAATACAATGCATGACTTCTAATTTTTAATTCTATTTAGTCAATTTACTTTCTTTTAATCATTTTAAAATTATGGAGAATAAATAATAATAGGCATAGCGATCTCAATTTAAGGAATTAAGTTGAATTATTGGATAACTCCTTAATACTCTGACCAGCAAGGCAATATATATATGGTATAGAATACTTTTTGTGATGTCTATAGGAATGTATACATACGTACATCTTGAAATATGTCCAAAAATTAAGATAATATATTGAAAATATATAAATCCAGAAAACAGTATTAGGCATTTTGGCATTAAAATTCAGAAAATACCTCTTTCTCATTGCAGTTTCCAGAAGTCTGGGCTTTATTAGTGAAACCCCATACCAATCAGAGGATTAAAATCAATCAAGGGAATGCTGCTTTTAACATAAATGTTTCTGAACCCTTCTTGTGTAAGTTTTTAAAGAATCTTGAAAATACTATTCACAAATCAGTGCAAAATCAAAACAACATGTATATATGTATGTTAACATGTAACATTACAGTTAATATGTTAAATATTTAAGTTGTTTATATCTAGTTTAATTAAAAATATTTTATTTTATTGTAGATTGTTAGTATTGAATGTCTAATTACATAGGTGTTCCTAATTTACATTCAATTCTTTTCTAAAATATCTGCAGAATAAAACAGAAGCTCCAAATCTCTTTTTTAGAATAACAAAATTTCAGTTTTAAAAATTAGAAAAAAAGTATTCTCGTTTGCTTTCATGGAAATTTTTGAAGCAAGTAACACAGAGTCCTATATTTTACTTTCCCCGAGAATACGTTGATCGCTTTCTTATTCTACTTCTCTGACAAGCAGCACATTTTTGTGGAGCTTTGTTTTGAATGGGCCAGTGGCCTATCAATGAAATGGTAACTGAGACTCGAGCAGAGCTGACTGAAACTTCTGAATCATTGAGGAGCTGCTTTATAAGATTTTTTTCTAAGATCCACGAAAGATAAGTCTGAAATTTTCATTTTGTGTAAAATAAAGGAGTTTAAAACTGCTAAATCAAGTAAGTGTAAAAGATTTTCTTTGTCTATTTTAAAGTTTACCTTTCAAAAGTAATAACTATTTACCATTTGGTCATTCAAGTCAATGAAACCCATATTTTTCTTGTAGGTCGATACAATTTTGGGTTTTCCTGTTTTGCCATAGGCTGCAATGGGATTATGCAAATTGCTGAGCATAAACATTTCTCTTGTCCTTCCATCAAGCTGCAGTCATTCCTGATGGAAATTTTATTTAGATTTGTCGTTTCTGCATTCGGATGCCAGCATTCAGTTTTGGATAACTTTTCCGATTGCAATGAACTGATGATTTTATATTTATGCAGTAATTCGTGAAATAAATCTGCTGATGAAAAGAAATTATTTATAAAAAGTTTATGTCCTTAGCCTTTTACAGTTTCTGCTAATGCTATTATTGTTTGATGAGCAGCACATTTGTCATTGTTTGACTCTTAGGAATCTCTTCCGAAATATAATTTCATGTTGTATGTGTAATAACGGCTGTTCACAAGCTTGTAAATTTTAATTCCAAAATGCTTATGCATTTTAGGAATGTATTGTTTAAAAATTACACTTCCCTTAAATAGAACGATTACTTCATTTACAGCCAGTTCTTTGGAGGCCTCATATACTTCCTTAAAATTGTTTCTAAAATGTTCAAATATATCTTTTATTTTACAAAATAAATCATAATTAGGATCGTTTCTGTCTGGCGGTGACAAAGGGCTTCTTCAAAGGGCAGAAGATTAAGAATTTGCAAAAATCTATCTCTATACATAGTTTTCTTAAAAAAAGGTGTTTCAAGCATTTTGTCTGTTGACCAGTAATCTTTTATCCTGTCTTTTTAAAAATGTCTCATCAACAAAGCTAGCACCAAAAAAATTTAGCAATTCAATTTCATTAACATCCTTCCAAGTAATTGTGTGCTCTTTTGTTTCTAATTCAGGTTTAAAACTAGCATTTTGCCTTAGTATTTGTTCCTCTTAATTTCTTTGACAAATTTTTCAATAATATTTCGCCAATTTTTGAAAAATTCAATTTCGTTCGTAGCTTGAGAAGAAAGGCCTTTTACATCGTTTCTGCCAATAAAATTCAAAGCGTTTACCCCATCATCAGGTTTTGGTTCAAGCCATTCAATTTTGAATCAAGAAAAGATTTTGTTCATGTTATCAGTTTGTTCATCACTGTAATTTACCAAATCAGTCAATATATATGAAGTTCCTTCCACATCTTCATGTTCACTTTTAGATCCATTTTCTATATCCAGCTTGCAATCAGATTCACTATCTCCACAGTTTTCATCATGAAGCTCTTGAATAAGTTTTCATATTTCTTCTTCAGTCAATCCTCCTTTCTTTTTCAGCATACTGCTACAAAAAATCAAAATAATTCCTAGAAAACTTACGAAAATATGCAATATTCTAAAGCAATGCAAAGCTCTGTTGAAAATTTACAAATGCAGCTATCCCGAATTCTGTAGCTACAAGAATGAAAAGGGAAACATTGGAGAAACCGGATCCTTAACCCAAAGACCTTTGAAAGAGATAAGTGGTTAAAACCCCAGAAATGTCAAATTTGACATTTCAGCCCACACTTTCAGCCTGGAAAATGGGGGAAGAAAACATGGCCACTGAAGTGGACAACCCAGTTCTTTCAAACAGGTCATTCTATGATCATTATAATGGCCATCCTGTTCTCGAATGGTTAAATGGACCTATATGTGCTTCAAAACTCAAGCAAGCTCTGCCTTTTTAGATCAAAGCTACTTAATTCAAACATTACGGTGTAGAAATTACCCAACTTCTTTCTAAAGGTACTATCGCCAAGAGTTCATGCATACTTAATTTTAATCCTGAACTTGACAACGATAACTCTGTCTGAAGGGACGGTTACAATTCTCATGTAACTATATGAGAGCTGGCTTCTCCCATCTAATAATAAATTTGTTGAGCTACTCATCTATAAATTTCAAACTAAAATGTGCCATTCAGGTGTTGATGTAACTTTAATGCATTTATGAGAACAATTCTGGATTGTCAAAGGTCCTCATTTACGAAATTAGTACTAAATAACTGTCTAATTTGTAGGTGGTTCAAAATGAAACCTGAAATGCAGGTCATTGCCCCTCACCACATGACAGAATTCAAGAACATTCACAATCTGATATCTGTGGTGTAGATTTCGTTGGACCCTTTGTATGTGATTTTAATTCAAAGTGTCATTTACTTATATTAAGCTGTGCAATGACAAGAGGTAACTACTTAGAAATAGTTCTCAATATAAGTGCTGATTCTTTTTTGTTAGGATTCCGATTGTTTCTCATCAAGGATTGTGTTTCACTATATATTCTGATAATGCCAAAGTTTCAAAAAAGCCAATTGTGAATTGAGAAAATAGTGGAATCGTAGATAATAACCAAATTAAAAATATGTTTGCTTCTAAAGGTACAATTTGGAATTTTACAGTTGAAAAAGGTCTATGGTAAGGAGGTTTCTGTGAGAGACAGATATGAACAGTAGAAAATTGTTTAACGAAAACTGTTGGATGATCTTCTCTTTCTATGAAGGAATTGGAAACTTTTTTCCTAGAGACTGAAGCCATGGTTAATTCCAGGCCTATGATATATCTGTACCACGAACCCTCAGAACCTCTCACCCCAACCCGTATCATATTCTAATTCATAAAATGTTGGTGTCTTTACCTGTAACAAATATAAAATTGAAGGTTTGAATGTTACTAGAAATTCTTTGGTACAGAAATATAAATATCAGTGAAAACTTTTAGAAAAGGTGAAGAAAGGCGTATTTACTTAATCTGAAATCAGCCTATATTTCTTCATAACCAGATAAAATAGTTTCATTAAAAGTGAACAATATAGTTTTAATTAATGATGAGTATCCCAGAAATATGTGAATGATGGGAAGTATTTCAGTACTACACCCAGAATGAGACAAAATAATTCACTCTCTTCTAATTCAAACACCAAAATGAAATATAAAATGTTCAGTTCAACTTGTGTATAATTTGGACATTAATCCTTAATTATGTTAATTTAAATATAAGTGCTAAACTATTAATTTTCTTAGTGTGTATTAATGATAGTTTTAATTGTGCTTATATTTTTAAAGCTTGATATTTGAACAACAATTTTACTTAAAATGTTAAAAAATATTATTTGTATTTGTATATCAAATGATTGTGAACAAAATTTAATGTTTTGTATTATTCTACTTGTTTTTTTCTTTATGTAATTTTAAATTGTTTCTAATTGTAAATTTTGTTGAAAATCGCCTCCCACTTGAACTCATTTGAGTAAGTGAACTCAAGTGGGGAATGTTACATAATTCCCACACTACTCAGCTAGA